ACCTTATCATGCACTTTTCTGCACATGTGAAGACTTCAGACCAAGGTCTCTCAAGGTCAGGTCACCAGGTCATGTCAAGTGACCTCGCTTAACCCATTTACGCCCTTCGTTGCGTTTTCGCAACGCAAGCAAGCGTCGACGTGATCGAAGCTTGAGAAGTGTGTAAAAGAGACTAACCGATGGGATAAGTTTCAGCGTGTGTGGCATAGTTGTGCGCATGATGCTACGCAGTTACAAGTCTGTGCGGCCGGTAAGTTACTGCCTAGAGCTCCCAGAGGGAAGTCGAAGGTTTTCTGAGTGATGACGTCACGAAAACCAAGATAAGTAGGCTAAGTGCTTAATAAAATCGTAATGAAAATTGTGTTAACATATTCTGCAGAATCCCTACAATAGCTTAGATATGCATTTTGTTAAGAAATAATGCTACAAAAAGGGTTTGTGACTATTTTCAAATATGACTACGGTCGCGTTGCGGGAACGCAACGAAGGGCACATCGGAAAGACAGCGGTGTTGCGAAAACGCAACGATGGGCACATTGACAGGGTAGCGGAAGTATGAATATCAACAATAGACTTCACTCGTGATACGCTGTGGGTTCTCTCTTTCTCTCCCCCATCTTCCTCTCTCTCCTCCTCGTTCCCCAACTCTCTCCCTCTCTCTCTCTCTCGCGCTCTCTCTCTCTCTCTCTCTCTCTCTCTCTCTCTCTCTCTCTCTCTCTCTCTCTCTCTCTCTCTCTCTCTCTCTCTCTCTCTCCCTCTCTCTCTCTCATTTTGTAGCCCTGAGGCTGTAGCGGCGAAACATCTTCAATTAAGGGGGCACTGCCGACTTTTGGTCCCATTCTTTCCATTTCCATGCAACGCCTATATGGATAATGTTAAAATGGCAAAATCAAGGGGAGCACGGTGCCCCGGTGCCTCCCCCCCCCCCCGCTCCGCCGCCTATGCCATGAGGGAACATACCTATGTATAGGTATGTTTAGTGCAAGGTGCGTTTGCACGTAAAATGTTGCGACACATTTCATATTTGCTGGCTCAAACAGCCACAAACACTCCTTTCTTTTTCTCTCGCAGATTATCGGCCTCGGGCTGTTCGTTCACTAAGCAATGTGTTCCCATGTATCTGAAAATCGCATGGTATAGGAAAAGGACCCATGCATCAAACGGTCGGCGATGCTAACGGAGCTGGGAGATAATAAGGTCCTTTGGAAATTGGATCTACTATGTACATTGTGCATATATAATGAGTAACGGGGATGTATTCTGGTATCAGGCGACAGATAGGCATCGCCATTCTCTGGATAGAATCTGCTGACTATTTACGTTAGAAAAGATAACTGAGGGTTGGCAAATAGTGGGATAGGCCCCCTCTGGGGGTAGCTGAGCCCTTCGGCAGGGGAAATGAGGGCGGACCTGGGAAAAAAATAATTTTTAGGATTCATAACTAGCATAGATTCATAAGCTGCTTGATGTGGAGTATACCCTTGTTTTCTTACTTTGATAGGCTTTTTATCTAATCAGACCATTTTAGAGCTAGCAGGATTATTGGAATTAGGGGAGACATATGTCTGACCGGACACGGTTAATCGTAGACTGGAGACTGAGCCCAGCCAGTGGGCAGGCCACCCATGACCCACCCCCTTCCCCCCTCCCAAGCACTCACTGCACCCGGCTACAGGCGCGCTCCTATGTGAGCTGCCCGATTGCGATATACGTTGCCGGTCCAGCCCGGAACAGGGGGTTGAGGCGTGGAGGAGGATTCAAATATCCTGAAGATGGAAAGGACGGATATTGACGTCGAATCACCATTCTGTCCTGGCATTGTCTCGAGAAAGAGGTTACACGTGAAGGTCGCTGAGAGTGGGGCCATGAAAGTTTTGGATTAGGTGTAAACATGATAAACTGGGAGTCGATTTGTTGCGATGCGCTACGCCTTACGCGGGTAATTTGTTAGAGCCGGATCGGTCCTTTTTTTCTTTTTGCTGGGAGTGGGTACGACTAACCTGCAATGGAATTTAACTTAACTCCTAGGAGGGTGGTGTGGTTAACAATGATTGCGGATATACGCGCATACGTGAGGCACTGGTTTACTCCCAATCCTCCGTTTAATTGTATTCAGTGTGGGGTCTGCTAGGTGGGGGTAATGGCTCTGTCTAGCTTCCAAAAAGAAAGCATCACCCTGGATACGTGTCGGCCACAACTTTAAATGAACAGCAATGGACAGCGTAAATGGTTGATAATGACCGTGTTGCCATCTCCCCGTTCGCGAATCATGAAGTTATGCTCCCTCACTGAGGCTCTTAGGCGGGTTATAGAGCATGGCGGATGTTGGTTCCGCATTTTCAAGCAATAGTTGTCAACAGTTGATTGACGTTTTGTCAAAACATATTAGCATATACGGCAGTTCAGTGTACTTTATGTCCGTCTGATGTGCCCGTCGTTGCGTTTTCGCAACGCTGATGGCGCCCGGTGTGCCCTTCGTTGCGATTTCGCAACGCATGTTTTTTTACGTTTTTCTCGAAAAACTTTTGCTGCAGGCAAAAATTATTTTCGATTCCATGCAAGGCCCTGGTAGGAGCATAACATATTTTGTTTTCGTCGATTTTCATGATGGTCAATATTCCTGGGCATAAATGGGTTAAACAATTTACAATGCTTGCCAAAGATACATAGAATCACGGATCGCCTTGAATCTTTCAGCAATTCATGAGGGCAGTAGTAGGCATAAAAAATTTGTTTCGGAATTTGTATGTCTGTGACATAAGGTCAGGCTAATTTTGCGCATTCTCCATTTTACAAATTATCAAGGGAAAATTGAAGGGCGCTTGTTTTGGACAAAGCTATTCTAAACACTCTCAAACACCGAGTTACAAGTAAACTTGACACACTAAACGGGAAAATGGCACCCGTGTTCCTTCCTTGTGTCCCTTAGGTCATCCCAGGTCACGAATGGTATCTTAACAGTTTTTCGCTAATAACTTTACTTTCGATAGAGGTACGACGCTAGAGCAATGAAAACATAGGGACTATCCCACCTTCTAAAATGTTGTTAAAACCAGTTAAATTGTGCCCGACTTCATAGATTGGATGACCAGGAACACGGTTCTGGCATTTATTTTTCATTAAACATCTTAGGCTTCCCATATTCCAAACACAAACTTTCAAATATGTGACGTCACAGCCCAAAATTACCTCCTTCCCCAGGCCACATTACTGTCATAAAGCTGATTCTTTTTACTCTGTAGGCACCACAACAAAGTGCAGACCAAGTTTTAAGCGATTTTTCAACGAGCAAACCCATTTAAATCAGAATGACTAAACGAGGTGACGTCACACTAACGGTCGCTCCATGTTGAAGATAGGGCCTTGCACAAGGCCCATTTTCAAATGAAGGGAACGAATTTCTTCAACACCAAGAGGCCGCGGGGGTTGCAACCAAGATAGATAGTGGTTTCTGAACCTCGCCGCAAACTTGGCTATCTCAACTCAAACCCCATGTTAAAGGTGGGACAGTCCCTTTAAGCTGTGTTCATCTCGATGATACGGATCGGCTGATATGAAACAGACCTTTTCCGAAACCTTGACCTAAGTTCAAATTTTCGAGTTACCCTCTGGAGGCTGAACCGTTCGCCTGAGGTCAAATCTAAGGACACAATTCAGAAAGAAGATTAAAGGGCTATCGAATGCGCTTTTCCGCGGCGCTGTATCTCTAATGGTCCCCGATCGCTGTTTCGAAAAATGTTGAAATAGGCAACCTTTTACCTTTGATGACCTCTGGTGACCTGACCTTTGACCTGACCTAAGAGATGACAGAAGTGTTTTCGTCCTTATTTTGGACGCTCTTTCGAATGTCGCTCACCGCGTATCGCATTCGCTACGTGGCCCAGGAGCGGAGTTAGAGGGGGTGCATTCAAACGCCCCCCCCCCTTCACCCTCCAGCAGGGCGTGGAAATCCGGTACTCTCAGCGGGGCGCGGGTTAATGACCTGTTAGGACCAAACAGTTGAGCTGAGTTCAAATCTGGCGACATTGTAGCGAAAAAAGATCTAAAAGAACTATGAAATATGCAAGTGATTGCTGATTTTTTCAAGCTTTTGTGGGTGGGGGGTGGGGGTATGCGTACATACATCTTGAAATATGTGTACAAAATGTGAAAGAATGTAGGCTAGTGTCATTAAAGCTGCCTAAATTCGTTCAAAGTGAACTCTTCTGGATGCTGCCTGGTAATTCACAAACAGCTCTGCGCAAGAACCGGTCTAATCGTCGTGTTCCTGCATTCCGCTGCCCCGTGTGTATCTGGTATCGCGGGCTAGCTGCGTGTGTCTTTAGGCGAGCGAGGCCGTACTATCCAGTCTGAACGTCTCCAGTGCCCGTGCATTGTCCGATCAGGCAGCTAGGTGTTTCCGAAGTTCAGCGGCTCGTCGATCGGTAACGCTGAGTTGTATGGTGATGCTTCCTCAGTTTGTGGTCGACCCGCTATATTCCCTTTGTGACCCAACAACATCAGTCCTGAAACGCCAATATCCCATTCCAGCCACGTTTATTAAAGTAAAAACTCTTATATAAGAATAGTAACAAGATGCACGACGATGTGTTATAGGTAACAGCGATGCATGCATGACATGATTATTCAATCGTATGAGCGATTGATTGGCTGAAGCGGTCTCCTTTGCGGCGCTGGGCGCCGGTCCGCCGCTGCAGGTACATGTAGTTAATGGCAGTCGCAGCGCCGCCGCGGGCGTCTACACTCCCGGTACATCGAACAACCGCGCCGTCCCCACCCGCTGCGACGACGGCGCCTATAAAAGATTGCCTACGTTCGTTGCGAGTGCAATGGCATGAGCGTGAAGCTGGCTGAGCAGCCTGGATGCTGGATGACTTGGCACTGGTTTTCACGGCGGCGACTCTTTGTACTGGCCGGCCGGCGGGCGTCAGCGCCGCGCCGCCGCCGGCCGCCTCGCCGGCCGGCCCATATCACACAGTGGTGGCCCACCGAGCCAGACACCCGAAATTCGGCTGCCGACTAGCCGCTGCCTGCCGAGCCGGCGCCTCGAGTCTGTGTGGCAGAGGCGCGGCCGGCGCCCCGGCCGGGCCGACCGCCCGGTCCCGGCCCCGAACTGGTGCCGGGGTCGCCGCCGGGACCCCCAGGACCCCGGCCCGCCCGCCGCGGCCGGCGTACGTGAACGCGGGCGTGCCGCTTCTTCTCGTCGGAGCGGGCGAACTTCTTGTTGCAGACCTCGCACTGGAAGGGCTTCTCCCCGGTGTGAGTGCGGATGTGTGTGGTCAGATGGTCCGAGCGCGAGAACGAGCGCAGGCAGATGCTGCACTGGAACGGCTTCTGACCCGTGTGGATGCGAATGTGTCGCGTCAGCTCGTCCGAGCGAGAGAACCGACTGCGACACGACTTGTCCGGACACGGGTAGGGTCGCTCTTCCAGCGGTGTCCGGCTGGGTCGCGGCGAGCCCCTGCGGGGCCGCACCGGCCGCAGAGGCAGGGATGACCCTGTCGCCGCTGATGACGACGGCGCCAGGCCGGAGGGGCCAGCAACGGGCGAGCTCAGGCCTGAGGGACCCGCTACGGGCGAGGTCAGGCCGGAGGGACCTGCCACAGGCGAGGTCAGACCGGAGGGGCCCGCTACAGCGGAGGTTAAACTTGAGACACCAGCAACGGGTGACGTCATACCTGACGGACCCGTAACGGGCGAGGTCAGACCTGACGGGCCGGTGACGGGCGAGGTCAGACCTGACGGACCCACTACGGGCGCGGTTAGCGCTGAGGAAGTTGATACGGTCGGAGGCATCGCTGAGGGCCCGGCCGCGACCAGCGTCGGGTCGAACTGGAGGACGGACGGCAGGACGGGCGGCTGCCAGCGGAGCAGGCCGGCCGCCGGCGCCGCGCTGGCCGGGTACGCCGGCGGCGGCCGGCTGTACACGCCGCTCGGGTCGAACAGCAGACCCGGCGGCTGGCACAGGCCCGGGTCGCGCCCGAACGGCGGCTGCGGCTGGTGCTGGTGATGGTGCTGCTGGTGTTGATGCGGATGCTGGTGGTGTTGATGCGGCTGCTGGAGGTGTGGGTGCTGAAGCTGCTGCTGCTGCTGCTGCTGCTGCTGCTGCTGCGGGGGTGGCTGGAATGTCTCCTGCTGGGCCGGCGGCTGACCGTAGGCGGAGAAGAAGGACGGGAACCAGGCGGCCAGTGTGGTGGTCACGGCCGGCTCGGCCTGCTGCGGCGGGCGCGCCGCCTGCTCGCCGCTCTCCTGCTCCTGCTCGGTCGGCTGCTGGGACGGAAACATGCCCAGCACGGCTGGCTGCTCGGCGGACGGCGACGGCGGCGCCGCCGCGCTGCTCAGGCTATTGGGGTTGGTGGGCTGGGGGCCGGCGCGACTGGCCGGCAGGGCAGGGACGGCACCGGCGGCGGCGCTGGTCGGTGCGGCGCCGCTGGAGGTGGACTCGCCCTCAGCGCTGCTCCGCAGGCCGTCTCCAACTGCCGACAGAGGAGGCACAGCGGGTCAGCGGGGTGCGCGGGCGGGCGGCTGGTGGGTGGACCCGCCTAACACCGGACAGAGGATCACGTCTGCTCGAATCGTATCCTCGTTGAGTCGTGCTCTCATAGGCGCGGGAGCCCGGGGGGGGGGGCAGTGGGGGCAGCTTGCCCCCCCCCCCAACTCTGGGGCCGTGGGGGCGGTGCCCCACACCTTTGAGACGGAATACCACACTTTTTTTGCAAATGTTTTCTTTTTTTGTTGAAAAAGCCGTGGGGTGAAAATAAGTGGCCTAAAACCGGTGAGAAAACTAGATTTGGGGGTACCCTAGGTTAATCTCTATTATGGTGTGCTCCCCCCCCCCCCCCCAGTCGGGAAGTAGTTCCCGCGCCCCTGCGTGCTCCAACTTTGACTAAGATGGATCCATAGTCTGATACTTTGCCACCATGCTGTCCACAAGCTATTAAGTTGAAAGAAAAAATGGAAGGGGGAAATGAGGTGCGTGTGATTCATGGGAAATTCATGTCCGTGAAAGGTCATTATTCATACCAATTTTTCGGACATGTCAATGTGCAAAAGGATGTCTCATGTCCGGTAAATCAAAATGTACTAGGGAAACCCACGTCGAATGAATTCTAACGGATGTCACCTTTCCTTTGAGGTTGTAAGGAACATTATGTTTTAATGTTGTTATTTTTATATGACTAGCATATTTGTTGTTGATTGCTTTGCACCGAGTACTACGTCAACTCAACATAGCTTTTTGGCGTCACTATTTTTGGATCTCGGTGACGGTAACCGCCTCTCCCCTTGCCACTCAAGAAAGCAACTCCAGTCTCCAACTTTTCTCGTAGTTCGCGGCGTCGGCGTGCTCGAACGTCCGCCTCCATCCCCGAGGGGGAATCAGTGACGATTGGGAGCCGCCTCTACTAAAACTGTTTCACCGCGACCGAACGGTTTACGAGCCGGGTATTTTGGTCGGGGCGTCATCTGTTTACTCCACGTCATGCTAATTCGGTCGCTGGCTGTCCGCTCCGGCGTGACGCGCCGGCTGGCAACAGCGCGCGCGGAATGTTGCCCTTGGCGGGCGGCACCGTGGTCCGCGCGCCAGGGCCGCTGCACTATCAATGCCAAGGGCTCCCCGCTCCCGGCGGCGGCGGTGGCGGCGGTGAGCGAACCGGTCGGGAGTGATCTCATACAGCGCCAATGGCAGGCGGCCGCCGGAGTGACCTCACCCGTCGCCAATCAGCCGCCAGTGCCATGACATCACATGTGACGTCAAACTGTGACGTCAAATGAGTGACGTTGCCGTTCGTAGCGCGGGCGAATTCGAGAAAGTAAAGGCGTGTTTTGGGGAGAGTGCGATGACGGGAAACCCGAAACGGGCCGGCTGGGGAATCTCCATTCGGAAAATTGGAAGGCCTTAATCGGGTCGTTTCCCGGGGAAGGCTCGGGTCCGGGAAGGAGGCAGTGGCTTACCGTCATTGGGGAAACAGTGAGGCCCCTACTGATTCAGCACACAGGACCTATGGGAGACCGAATAAGGCCATAGGCGGCGGAACGGGGAGGGCACCGGGGCACCGTGCCCCCCTTTGATTTTGACATTTTAACATTAGCCCTACGGGCGTTGCATGGAAAGAATGGGACCAAAAATCGGCAGTGCCCCCCGTTAATTGAAGGTGTTCCGCCGCTAATGAATAAGGCAACTACCTACTGGGACGACTCTCAATGGGATATCCCATAGAAAATCACACCACTTGGACCAATGTTAAAGAAGGCATTTGACAAGCACCAGTCAATGCATACGCACTTCATCTTACACAAAGATTTGATTGAGATACCAGCGTGCTCTTCAGGACAACTGACCCGAAATGGGGAGGCTACTGACCCATCGTCAGGGGGCAGTGACCGACTTAACATTGGGAGGCTATTGACCCACTGGGGGGGGGGGGGTGACTGACGGTGATTGCGGCAGAGGGAGCTGACTAACCCACCGTAGAAAGGCTACTGGCCGTCACCTTGCGGAGGGTGGGGCTTGCTGACCGTGACCGTGGGAGATGGTTGACCGTGACGAGACCGGATGACCCACAGAACATGGGGAACAGGGATATTCCTCCGAAGATAAGGTGTTTGACCCACCATGGGAAGGTGACCTGACCCTAGGGCTCGGAAGCCTGGCCGACCTACCGTGGCGTGGATAGGATGTTTGACGTGTTATAGGGAGTTTGGCTGGCCCAGGAGCCTGGCCGACCCACCTGGAGTGGGGAGAGGGTGTTTGACCCACCTGGCCTGGGGAGGTCGTCTGACCCACCTGGCCTGGGGAGGTCGTCTGAACCACCTGGCCTGGGGAGGTCGTCTGAACCACCGTCGCCTGGGAAGGGCGTTTGACCCGAGGAGCCTGACGGACCCACAGGTGGCGTGGGGAGGATGTTTGACCCCCTGGCGCGGTAGGGGCGTTGGACCCATCATAGGGAGTCTACCTGACCTACCAAGGCCTGGGGAGGGTGTCTGACCTGCTATGGGGAGCTTAACTGACCTATAGGTCACGGTATACCGTGACCTGGGGAGTCTAACTGACCTACCGTAACCTGGGGAGTCTAACTGACCTACCGTAACCTGGGGAGTCTAACTGACCTGCCGTGACCTGGGGGGCCTAACTGACCTGCCGTGACCTGGGGAGTCTAACTGACCTGCCGTGACCTGGGGGGCCTAACTGACCTGGGGGAGGGCGTTTGACCCACCTGTCGTCACCGTGGGGAAGCTGAAGAAGTCGTCGCCGACGTCGACGCTGGTGGAGGGCGTGTCCAGGTAGCCGGGGCTGGGCGTCGTCGGCGCGTCGTCGAGGTGCCAAGGGCTGGTGGGCGGTGACAGCCGGCCTCTGCACAGCTGCTCCCAGTCGAGGTGCACGTCGGCCAGGCTAGGCGTGGCGGCCACCTCCACCGCGTCCAGCATCATCTTGGGCGGGCTGGCGGTCGCACCTGCGGCACAGCAGAGACTGGACTCAGCGGCCGGAGTGGGCGGCAGCTGCAGCGCCGCCGCCGGCCGCCGTACTACGCTGGCCGTCGGCTTCATGAATGAGCCGCGTCAGAGTGGCCGCGCTGCCGGCCGGCCGACGCCGCCGGCCAATGGACGGGCACCTTCCTGCAATGTGACGTCATCACTTCCACTAAGCCCCTCCCTGCTTCCGGCGCTGAGCAATCCGGTCCCAGAACGGGGCCGAGTGACATCATAGATTGTATGATGTAATGAAGTTCACCGGCGCTCCGGAGCTCTGGCACGTGACTGGCACGGTGCGGGGTTTACCGCGGCCCGGCGGCGCGGCGACGAACGGAAGCACACCGTGGCCGACAGTGCTGTTTGAGTAGGGGCGCGCCGAATCTCCGGGACAGGGAGGCCGTGGGTCGGTGCCATGTACGGAACTAGCTGACCATTAAATTGGGCTGTAGAGCGCTTACTAGTCATCAATCGTCTGCCACGTCATGATAATTTGACAATTTTTTATTACACTCGTCAATTTAGCCAAAGCTTTTTCATGTCGAATAGTAAATATGCCGATCAGTTATTCAAACTGGCAGAGCGGCTGAATAAGTTATACCTACAACAACGCAGGCATGTAAAAACTGTGACTTTGTTTGGCCAATTTAATTTGCATGGTGCTCAGGACAATATATTCCTGCCCGGGGCCGGGATGATTCAATAAATGTCACCGAGGTTTTTTAGCGAAAACTCCGAGGGCCGTTAGGCCCGAGGTGCTTTTCGCTAAAAAAGCGAGGTGACATTTATTGAATTCCCGGCCTTAGGGCTGGAAGGTGTTTCCCATACCTGCCAAAAAGCTCACAACTATAATTGATAGTGACGTCAGCAGCCGTGTGGTTCAACGCGTTTAACCACACCCCTTGAACCACACGGCTGGCAATATTAAAGCACTGCATTAAACTTTGAAAAAAGTGGTACAGTGCACGTGCCATTAAAATGCCTGGATGTCTCGATTTAATCATGCAATGTAGCAGGTATGGGAAAGGTAGATACTATATAGTTCTTAATTTAGGTACTTGCTGTTCAAGAATGCATGGGTATTTTCGTTTCCAGTAAGTTTTGAAATCAGCGTACCTTTCAAAAGTTTGTTAAAGTTATCCTACCGTATGTGTATTGTGTAGGTGTGCATTAATACCTATACTGAATCCCATTTCTAATTTGGGGAAGTTTGAGGACTCGTGTGTTTTTAACCGAAGGTTTGTTGTCAAATGTCAATAGTTTAAACACTATTCTTTAGAATTGTGTTTTTAATTGAAAAACAAATCTGAGTTCCCTGACAATTTGGCAAAATACCCTAAGAGGTTTTCATGCATGAGCCAGTTTCACTAAATGAAAGGGAAACTAAACCTCGTCGTGTAGTTCACAGTTATAAACATAGACGTTCATACAATACAAAGCTACATCAGCTGGATAATTATTTTCCCAGCTCTCCAGGATGTTTTGTTTTAGTTTTCGTCTGAGCCACTTGGTGTATTTGATTAGCCATCGTAAAGCCGCCTCTGCTATCATGAATCCTGCTATGAACTGTTTACATTCACTATGTGAGTCATTATCGTAGCGTATCCTGTATGTCGTTTGTAAACGTGCGCGGGTTTGTTATTTTAAAGTTGATGAAATTCGTCTTCCTGTAAGTGCCGCATAAGCAGACCGGTATTATCTGGTAACGATCATCATTGTTTATGCCGGTAAAGCGGATCTTACCGCTACCTCGTATGTTTTTTTCAAGACATGAGCTATGTTGTATAAACATTTATCATGTTCTAACCGTCTCGTTCGCGCTGTCCTAGTATGTCTGTCCCGCCGCACTTCAGGCTTTGAGTACTTTGGCTCTTCCTTTGCCTCATTCATTCTGTTGTGGATCGTGTTCCGTGCCCGCGTTTTTGCCGTTACTACACGAGGGGCGGAGTTTACGCTGTGCCACTACAGCCCACTGCGACCCAGTCGCGTGCCATCCGCCGTGTTACCATCCGGCGGCGGCAGTGGCGGGCCGACGCGCTGTCTCGGCGCGCTGTCTGGACCCGTGCCAGCCGGCCAGCTGAGGCGCCGTGACGACTCCAGAGCGGTGACTCAGGGGCCGTCGTCACCGACTGAGTCACGCCGGCCGCTGCCCACTGTTGTCTGGGCCCGCCGCGCCTCCTGTGACGTGGCGGCCGCGACCTTTGCCGGCCCGCCGCGCCGATCAGCGGGTCTGGAGCCGGGCTCGCGGTCGGCGCGCTGGCAGCCCGCTGGACGCGCGCTGGACGGAGCTATCGCGGCCCCATCGACCTTCCGGTTTGGTGCACCGACCAGCTGACGGCGTGTGAGACTCACTGGGATAGTACCGAGTTGTGGCGGCTACCTGGATGGGTGCACAGCTAGTGGCATGCGGCACGCAACGGTATTACCTAAATAAGTGCGGCACGGAAGGGTGCTACTGAAGAAGTGATATGACAAGAAGGCGTGGGCTGAGTTTGCGATTAGGGAAAATTATTGTGATGCACTTACTCAAGCTGTTCCGGCAACCTATGCCACTACTGTTGAGGTCATCATCCATGGAATTTCCAGAGGAGACCGAACGATCCGAAAGCCGCAACCGGTATTTGTATGGTGTCTCCGAGTTTTCGCTAGGTAGCATTGCGTTTTCGTGAGACAATACGACATAATTTACTGTGTTCATTCGTCCACTAATGCACGAGTAGGTTGTTGTAAGAGCAATAATGAAACCAGTTGGGTGATACCTGATCAGTGAGGAGTGCTAATAAGATCTTTATTTTCAGATAGATTTAGTTCGAATGTTTTTCAATAGACGTAGGTACTGACTTATCAAGAGTCTGTGCCACACAGAGCATAACAGACCTTGACCTTCTCCCTGTGAGGGTCAAATTACGGGTCTTCAAATATCTGGAGGATTTTAGAAGCCATGAACCCCCCCCCCCCCCCCACCGTCGGCCGTTACTATAGCTCCGAACGCGTGCAGAGTTCTTACGTTTACTTTAAAAGTGCTGTTAAATTTATTTCGTCTCATGAGTATGCATGGTGTTTCTATTTCCAATTTTTCCTTTACTCCTTTCATGTATTTTTATTTTATGCATGTTTGTTCCTTTACTCCTTTCATGTATTTTTATTTTATGCATGTTTGTATCTCGCTTAAAGGGACTATCCCACCTTCTAAAATGTTGTTAAAACCAGTTAAATTGTGCCCGACTTTATAGATTGGATGACCAGGAACACGGTTCTGGCATTTATTTTTCATTAAACATCTTAGGCTTCCCATATTCCAAACACAAACTTTCAAATATGTGACGTCACAGCCCAAAATTACCTCCTTCCCCAGGCCACATTACTGCCATAAAGCTGATTCTTTTTACTCTGTAGGCACCACAACAAAGTTCAGACCAAGTTTTAAGCGATTTTTCAACGAACAAACCCATTTAAATCAGAATGACTAAACGAGGTGACGTCACACTAACGGTCGCTCCATGTTGAAGATAGGGCCTTGTACAAGGCCCATTTTCAAATGAAGGGAACGAATTTCTTCAACACCAAGAGGCTGCGGGGGTTGCAACCTAGATAGATAGTGGTTTCTGAACCTCGCCGCAAACTTGGCTATCTCAACTCAAACCCCATGTTAAAGGTGGGAAAGTCCCTTTAATATGGATCCACCATGTGAAATGGCCTGTAAATGAACGGAACGGAGCTGAAATGAACGGGTTTAAATAAATAGTTTTAAATTCAAAAAGAGTACCTTTACATTTGTGCACGATCAAATGATATAGGTACTTGAGCTAAACTTAAATAACAGTAAAGGAAATGAAAAGCCTAATAGTGACGTAAAAGTTTCAAACAACTTCTCGCAACAAAGCGAGAATATAGAATTCAACAACATTTCCTTGAGTCTGCCAACATTTCCTTGCAAGTGAGATCAGGGTCAGTTCAAAATTTTGACTTATAAGCGATTATATTGTTGGCTTCCGAGCCCAAACAGCGAAGAGTTATTATAGCAGATTTTATCCAAAACGCGTCCGAAGGTGACTTACTAAATGTAGTGCTGCGGACGTCTCACAGCGTTCAAAGTCAAGGGCCATTCATGTCATATAAGGTCATGTTAATCGCGATTAAATTACAAAGCACGTTAATAAATAACTTCATAAAGATAAATTGATTTGAATTTCCAATTATGATTTTGTTTTAGCTGAAGGAGCGGAGTTTGCGAAATGTATTCTTTTTGTGTTTCTGTCATTTTAGGTCTCTTTGAACGCAAGCCACTAAGGTTGCAAACAATTGTAACAAAGAAAAATATCATAGCAACGGGCCAGTTAGGTTGGAAATTAGAGCGAATCTGATTGACATTTTTTTGTGAACTACATGGCATCCAAGCCGAGACGGGCCTCTTTCTGAATTATCAGCGAAGCTTAACAGCAATGAATCTCGATCTCGACAGTTCCATGCAAGATTGCTTTACTAATGGTTCCCTGAGCTTTGCTATTTATCCTGTGCGAGAGGATAAAATTTTAGGGATTAAAAAATGTTTTTTAAATGATGTCCATGTGCAATGAAAACCCACCATGAGATTGTTTCAACCATAATTAGAAGTCTCCAATATTTTAATGAATTTTGCTGTCTCAGTGGCAGAATCGCAATTTTCGGAGATGAAGGGTCCAGGGAGAAATAGCCCCTCGCATCTGAGCCCCAATTTGATGTTTCAAAATAACGGTATGCACTATGCACATTCCTCTCTCAGTAACGGGTGGCATGGTTACAGATTGAATGGTGGCCTCACAGGTTATACGACGCTTTAATCCGTTCTGACTGAATCAAATTATTGTGGAAAGCCCTCTGTACTGTTATAAAAGTTACTATGAAGTTAATCAAAGCGGAAAAATAACATCTCAAAATGAGTGATATGAAATTCGAAAATCCCTTTCATCTGACCTCTGGCAGGAACAATCACTGAAGTCATTTAGGTAGCGCTAATGACCCCGAATGACATTATTGTTGATAATGATGCCTTTTGTAAGATTTGTTTTATGCGTTAATTAATTACGTAATGTGATAAC